TGAGGTTAACGATGAAAAACTTACGGTTATCACGATTTTTCAATATATTATTAGACAAGAAAGCTCGAGAAACAATTGATGAAGCTTATAAAAGACTCGACTGAGATAATAAAGCTTGGGGGATGTTTCGTTATAACAACTTGAACGTGATGTCCATGACCAACGGTTTCTTAGAATTTCTCTGATATTCTACATATTTCGTAACTACAGTTTTAACCATTTACTGTTCTATCGTTTCTTAGAGTTACTTAACATTTAAGTAAAGTAGAATGAATTGAATTTACTCGGAAATTAACATTAATATAAATTTGGAATTGTTCTGTCATTAGGCATAAAATTTTCAAGAATTTGTTTCAAAAATTGCAAAAAATAAGATCATCTTTTTAGTCATAATTGTCAGCTCAATCGAATGGTCACAGTTATTGCAATTTATGGCAGCACTTTGAGGGCTTCAATTAGTTAGAGCTGGTCAGAGATCAGCTTGAAGATTTCAGATGACATCATCAATAAGAGCTATTGCAAAAGAGGTTGAATTTTGTTGAGAGAATTTCCTCGAGTATAGCAAAAAAATTGTAAACTACTGCTTGAAAAATTAAGAAGGAATTATCTGGCCATAAGTTTATGATGAGTTCATCGATGTTTTCGCGGTTATGTCTTAGATTAAAACGTTACATCTTACAGTTACTTACCAAGTGGAGACGTGTGAAGGTAACAACAAAATTTATGAGCTTAACTTGGTAGCTCCTGACTATGGTTCAAAAGCTGATACCGTAATAGTTTTTAGTCCATGATCACTAATGGGCTTCTTATTTCATAGCTTTGAAATTGGCATCATTTGAAAGAGATACCGAGTTATTCCACCTGCTTAAGAGCTTTCAAATGAAGAAACTATCCAACGGAATCAGCTAAAATTACAACTCGTAGCCTAATTGAACGTTATTTCATGACAAACTTTCAAATAATTCAACGAGTTGCGAAAACAACTGTTACCATAATCAATCGAGACTCAGACTATGACTACTTTTTTTTTCAAACTTATTTTTGAAATCTCCTCCAATGAATTCTGATTTGGTAGCGGAAAATTTAACTACCTCTGGTCTGATCTTATTTGTAAAGAATATCAGGTTGATCCACCTGCTTAAAAGCTTCAAACTGAGGTTCTTGATATTAGCAGGCAAGTCAAGCATTTAAAGAAAGAGACAAAACGTTTGAGTCTGTAAAACATGTTTCGACAGAAACTTCTGTCATCTTCACTGTACGAAGCGTTGGAAGTTGAATTAAATAGTAAGTAGAACAATGCTAATTATGATAATAATATAGTGATAACAAGAAAGGATGTAAAGCATAAAAGTGTGAGAATTAAAAGGATAGTTTTAGATTTACATGGTGTAATTGTTGATTCAGGGATGGTTGTTCTATTTGAATGAATAGCCTCTTTTATCTTAAGTTGAAATCCGGTAGAGGTGTGATCTAAAATATGGAAGTTATCTGCTGAACATATATAAAGCGCGACAATGTGGAGAATCTTTCATATGCCTGATAATATGAGAGGCCCTGCCACTGACTAAGTGCTCTCTGACACGTGTGGAAAAATGCCGGCAGGTCTCACAGATGTAACAGGCATTACAGCCGATTTTGAAGGAAGAGAAAACCAGTTTAACATTCAAGCCATTGTAATAGGGCTTAATAAAATGGTGAATCTTTTTTTGACTGATAGCAGAAAAGAGGGCTATGTAGGGTAGCTTAAAGTAAAAGGTAGGTGAAGGGGTGGGAGGGGAACCCCGGGGATCATGATTGCTTTGGGTCCCAGAGATGTAACAGTTTATAATCTCGATTAAATGGGAAGGAAAAAGTTCTTGTTTAGAATATTAGTAAGTTTGCTTATGTCCTCGTAAAACCCTAACCAAGTGTTATTAATCTTGTAAGCTCTATCAACGAGTGTCTTAATGAGACCCACTTTGTAAGAGTACGAGGTGAAACTGATT